GGCCGGAAAAGAGATGGAATTAGACAAGCAGAAGTTCCGAACCGAAGGACGCTGCTTCAAATGCGGAGAGAAGGGCCATAGGGCCAGAGACCATCAAAATGGACAAATACCACAAAAACCAAAATTCGATCTCCGAGCAATGTTAGAAGCAATGCCAGAAGAAGAACGAGCTAACTTGCTCCAGGGTTTTTAAGAAGGCCAGCTGCGACTCCTTGCCAGACTGTGCCAAAGAACTTTGTAAATAGATATGCCCTCCTACCTGTTGAAAATCTTGATGCCACATGTACCAGTAACGATGAAAATGATATTGCTTTATTTAAAGATGCACAAGATTTGAAACGAAAGGAACAATCTATGAAAGAGGAGAACCTGAAAGGGAAACGTGTTGAAAAGATTCCCAAACAGGAAGCGGCGCACTCGAAAGAGAAAGGCGCAGCACAGGAAGCGGTGCACTCGAAAGAGAAAGGCACAGCACAGGAAGTGGCGCACTCGAAAGAGAAAGGCGCAGCACAGGAAGCGGCGCACTCGAAAGAGAAAGGCACAGCACAGGAAGCGGCGCACTCGAAAGAGAAAAGCGCAGCACAGGAAGCGGCGCACAAGGTACCTAAAGGGGAAAGGGCCACGAAAAGCGCAGCAACTACGAAGGAGACAACTGAAGCACAGAATGTTACGACTCAATTGGGTAGCGTAACCGAAACTGATGCTTCGACCAGCTCCAAAGAGGTCAGGAACACCTCTAATAAAAACCTAGATAAAAAGAATCAGAAAACACCATGGACAGCTGCCTGGATAGCGGAAAGACTACGAGACCAAAAGGAAGAAAGATCTATTGGTATTCTCAGTAGTTGGACCCATAGAAAAAGAGGATTGGAAGTCAATGCAGACTTGATAAAAGAACTGAATGCTTTACCAATTCACGAAACGGTATTAGCACTGGAAGAACTGAAGAAGCCTAAGCAATTCATTAGAGGCACTCAGGGAAACCAGATGAACATCACCTGCAGACTAACAAACCTTGCATCCCATCAATCAACGACGATTGAGGCATTACTAGACAGTGGCTGTACCGGAAGTTGCATAGATAACAAATTTGTTGAAGAACAGGGATATGAAAGGCATAGAATCCCTAGACCAATCCCAGTCTACAATGCTGACGGCACTCTAAACCGAGACGGCAGTATTAAAGAATTCGTGGAAATATTGGTGGAGATTAACGACCACGCCGAAAGACTCCAGCTAGCCGTTACCAATCTTGGAACTGGCAGGATGTTCCTAGGCCATGAATGGTTAAAGAAACACAATCCCACGATAGACTGGAACATGTCACAATTAGACTTCAATAGATGTCCATCAGACTGCAACATGATGGTAAGATTCTTTGATCCTGAAGAAGATCTGGAAATGTATTGCCCGGAGGTCAATCTTGAAGAGGGGGATAAAATTATCCAATTCAATTTCTTAAACGTTGAAGACACATCCATTCCTGACGTCATGCACCATATCCGCGCTCACGGCACGACTGCACAACAACTTGCCGAAGCAGCAGGAAAAGACCAGAAAACAGGTGGATTCGAAGGCATTGTACCAAAATACCTTCATGAATTCAAAGATGTCTTTGACAAAAAAGAATTTGACGCCCTCCCTGAAAGAAGACAATGGGACCATGCAATCGAACTGATACCAGGCGATCATACGATAGACTGTAAGGTTTATCCATTAGCACTAGGAGAACAAGAACAGTTAGATGCATTCCTAAAAGAGAACTTAGACTCAGGACGCATCAGACCTAGTAAATCTCCGATTGCTTCACCATTTTTCTTCATCAAAAAGAAAGACGGCAAACTCCGACCCGTACAAGATTACCGAAAATTAAATGAAATCACCATAAAAAACCGATATCCATTACCTCTGATTAATGAACTTGTAGACAAGCTCAGAGGCGCCAAGTATTTCACAAAACTTGACATAAGATGGGGATATAATAACATTCGGATCAAGGAAGGAGACGAACACAAGGCTGCATTTAGAACAAATCGCGGCCTGTTCGAACCGTTAGTAATGTTCTTTGGATTAACAAATTCACCAGCTACATTCCAAACTATGATGAATTCTATATTCAAAGACCTAATTGATGAAGGAAAAGTAGTGATCTATCTGGACGATATTATGATCTTCACAAAGACGATAGAGGAACACCGAGCAATGACGCGACGTGTACTTCAGATCTTACGAAAACACCATCTATACCTAAAACCGGAAAAATGCGATTTCGAAGAAACAGAAACAGAATATCTGGGATTAATCATCTCGGAAAACGAAATACGCATGGACCCGATTAGGGTGAAGGGAATCCTAGATTGGCCAGAGTGCAAAACGAAGAAACATGTGCAAGCCTTTTTAGGATTCGTTAACTTCTATAGAAGGTTTATCGAAGGATTCGGATCAATAGCGAAACCGCTTACTAAACTGACCGGTAAAGAAGAGTTTATATGGGGAAAAGAACAAAAAGAAGCCTTCGAAGAGATAAAAAGAAGGATAAGCACAACCCCCGTATTAGCACTCCCGACCAATGACGGTCAATACCGAGTAGAAGCGGATAGTAGCGACTATGCTCTAGGAGCAGTACTCTCTCAAGAGCAAAATGAAGTCTGGAAACCAATAGCTTATCTATCTAAATCTCTCAATCCAACTGAAAGAAACTACGAGATATATGATAAAGAACTATTGGCTATTATGACGGCTTTAGAGGAATGGCGCCATTACCTAATGGACGCCGCGAAAGAGTTCGAGATCTGGACTGATCATCAGAACCTAACATATTTTAAACAACCTCAGAAGCTTAATAGACGACAAGCAAGATGGGTTAGCGAACTGGCCAATTATCATTTCACATTACATCACAAGCCAGGCGCTACTCACATCAAAGCCGATCTATTATCCAGACGATCAGACCATGACGAAGGAAAGAATGATAACGAAAATGTTACCTTATTGAAACCAGAACTATTCTCCATTAATATGACTCTATCACACGAAAAAAGGCAACAGATAGCAGTTGACGATGCCAAAAACATAGAGATCACAAGATGGATTCATAAAAGGATGAACAACATTGACGAACTCGTTCAAAAGGTCAAGGACAAAATAGACAACCGCCAAGACGGCTGGTGGACCGATGAAGGACTCATCTACTTCAAAGGTCGCATGTATGTCCCAAAGGACCGAAAACTCAGAGAAACGATCATAAGAGACAATCATGATTCCCCAATAGCTGGTCACCCAGGCCGGTATAAAACAAAGGAATTGATTACCCGATGGTACTGGTGGCCATATATGGACAAAGACGTCCAAGAATACGTAACCGGATGCGAAACCTGTCAAAGAACAAAAACAGATCATCAGAAAAAGGCCGCACCGTTACATCCGAATGAGATTCCAAGCCGCCCCTGGCAAATCATATCAACGGATCTCATAGGACCATTACCAGAATCGAAGGGTTACAACACTATCATGGTAGTTGTTGATCGCTTTTCAAAAATGATCAGGATTATGCCAACACATGCTGAGTTGAACTCAGAAGGAGTAGCGAGACTATTCAGAGACAATATATTTAAACTTCATGGATTACCCGATAAGATCATCTCAGATCGAGGAGTCCAATTTGTCTCTAATTTTATGAAGGATCTCTACACAATGCTAGGTATAAAGGGAAACCCATCAACTGCTTATCACCCACAAACCGATGGTCAAACAGAGAGGATTAATCAAGAGATAGAACAATATCTCCGAATCTTTGTTAACCATAAACAAGACGATTGGGCAGACTGGTTACCATTAGCAGAATTCTCCTATAACAATAAAGAACATTCAGCTACCGGCTTCAGTCCTTTTTATTTAAATAATGGGCAACACCCAAAAATAGTAGAAGGAATTAGGAAAGGAGTAAAGAGTGAGAGTGCGGAAGAGTTCGTAGAAAGAATGAAAGAAACAAGGGAAGAAGCAGAAAAATCTCTGGCAAAGGCAGCCGAGATTATGAAGAGATCATATGACAAAACAAAAAAGGAAAGTCTTGAATATGAACCAGGAGACAGGGTTTATGTAGAAGCCGAGCACATCACAACTGATCGACCATCAAAGAAACTGGATGATAAACGACACGGACCATTTGTAGTCGAAAAGAAAACCGGACCGGCCGCTTACAAATTAAAACTACCCGGAAAATGGAAAAACGTATATCCAGTATTCAACGAAAAAATCCTCCATCCCTATAAAGAACCAACCTTTCCTGGTCAAAAGAAACCAAAACCTCCACCCCCCGCTGAAGTTGACGGACAAAGAGAATACAAAGTAGAACAAATACTTGACTCACGATTGAAACGTGACAAGTTAGAATACCTGGTACATTGGAAAGGATATGGAAAGGAAGAACGAACATGGGAACCTGAGCGAAATGTCAAAAATTCGCCAGAACTAGTCAAAGACTTCCATGATCACTTCCCATCTGCTCCACGCCGAATCAATTTCTTACTTCATTATCAACCGTTCGAAAACTTTACAGAATTTTCCCATAAAAATAGGATATTTAACTGGGAAAATGGCAAACTTGAACAAACCTTTCGGGACGAAAGTCCTAAAAAGGGGGGTAATGTCACGATCCTCTTCTCCTACACCTAATACTTCACCTTTCATCTCCAACTCTGACGTAGAAACACTCATCTCTCCTTATCTTATCACGTAGCTTTCCTTATCTTATCTTCTTATCTCATCATGTGACCCTAAGTCACATAATCACTTACCAATCATCTTACCAAGCTAAACACGATACATCCTCATGTCTATCAGTCAGCGCCTCATGGCTGACATGAGTTCTTACATATATAAGTAGACACCCAACGATGTACATACCTTAGCTTTTGATTTCGTCTTTATACACTTGTTCAACTACTTGCTAGAGATTGACGTTGAGTTGCCTGGTTTCTTCCAGTAGTGCAACTCAGTCGTTATAGATGTCCCTTTTCACCGCACCGGTAGCAAAGTCCCTTCTGTCGGTACTCTGCTTTGTCGACCTTCATGGGGTCACCGGATTGGGTATATAGGTACCCGGTTGCATCCTTCTTTCTCTCGACCTTTGGTTCGGTCGTCTTTCCTCCTCCGTCTTGCTTCTTTCTCTCCGTACTCCTGAAGCTCTCTTTCTCCACCTCTCTATGACGCCACAAGTAGTCGATGCGGATCAGTTCCTTCTTCCATTCTTCGTAGTTGGCCGGCTCTCGGCCGCCGTATATTACCTGATTGACCAGGGGTTCGTTCATGTTCCTACGTAAAAGTGAAATGAGGAAATCCTCATTGGCTACTTGGAGGTAGCTAGCCTCCCTCCTCAGTTCCTCGAAGTGTTCAAAGTGCTTCTCGGCCGTGTTTTTTCCTTGTCGCAAGATCATAATGTCGTTGCGGGCGGCGAGTTGCTCGTGAACGTTCTTGAACCGAGTCTCCATCTTTGTAGCGAACCACTCAAAATTCTCGTAAGTGGTTTTGATGCTTTCTCCTCACATCCTCCTTGCCATCTTCGTTTCCATCCACTCTGTTCTAAAAGCAGCCGCTGCTCCTCCTGTCATAAAAGAAAGCACGTAAGCGATCTTCCTTCTTTCATCCGCGAAATACTCTTCGTCATCTTCAAAATTAAGCATCAAGGCTTCGCGGAAAGCCTTATACTTCTTTCGGTCTCCATCAAAGTTCTCAGGCTTCTGGAGAGCCGTTCTGGTTCTGTCTACGCGCTTCGGCTGCGTAGTGGGTGGCGGCGGTGCGGATGCGGCTGGAGCGGACGTAGAAGAACTCGACGTAGCTAACCTCAGCTTGGCTAGCAATTCGTCTACTTCTTCTTTGGCCTCTCTCAACTGTGTTTCGTATAAATCGTGGAGCCTCTTCTGCTCCTGCTCTATCCTGGTCTGAACGTATTGTTCCAGTCCAGCTTCCTGCGATGTCGGGGGTTGGGGTTCTAGCGGCGGGAGCGCGTCCCATAATTCTCCCATCCCCATTTCTGGTGTGTCCCGCTCTTCGCGCGGACCTCGCCATTCTCCGAATGCTGCCGTCGTCATGATCAGGGTAAGGGGTGTGGTAACGGGTTCTAATCGGTTCTATCTCTGGGAATGTGAAATAGATTTCCCAGGCTATTCTGTTCTCAGAATGGAAGCGTTGTTCTGCTAACCACTCTTCGAAATCACCAGGTTGCATATACGAGAGTTCCCCGATGATAAATCGGATCAACACTTTCTCGAATAAGTTCAACCAGACTATCTTTCTCTTTGAGTCAAGCGGTTCCTCTTCTGTCCCGCACTGACTGTGTACGTAACTAATCTAATCTGAGAGATATCGGTGTTCTAATTGTATAGTAATTGGGGTCCAAACGGTTGTCCCAATGATACCCAGCGAGTAACCGCGTGCAGGTCTTTTCCGACTGGCGGAGGCAAGTGCCCGGCCTGGTCAGAAGTGTACGGAAGCTACTTTAAACTAAGTAATACCTATCGGGCTCCACGCCGTCAAGGGTTCTAGCTACTGGGTTGGAAGGGGGAGTGAGGGGGATGTTAACAAACGACTCAGTGGGTGAGACGTTGGCAGGAAAGAATGAGATGATGGTGTCGGGTCGGGTGATAGGTGATGTGATGATAGTTTGTGTGAGGTGAACGTAGAGTTTGGCGATGCCAAAGAGTATGAGTGCAATGAGGGGGAATAGGATGATGATAAGGATAGCTATGATTTTGCTCATCGACAGGTGTCGTACCAAGTTGTAGATTGTGTAAAGACCCTAGCTGTATGCCGGTGACCCGAGCAGCGGAGGACTTAAATCTTAACAACAAGTGTTCAGACAAGCAAGTATAAAAGAGTAAATCTACAACTGGGGTATGTACATGGATATCGTGCTAGTTATATAGGAAAAGGCATGAGGCTACGGGGAGGTATGACGTAGCGTATTGGTAACTAACATGTGTATGTAGTGAGGCTGATTGGTAATGTGTATTACTAATAGATCACGTGATACTTGATAAGATTAGATCAGGAAGAGATTAGATAAGGTGAGATAAGAGTTTCTATCTCTTGATTAGATAAGAAAGCTGAGTCAGATGGGTATGATCGTGACAGATGGCTGCCACCCCAACACCGATGCCCTAGAAACAGTTTGTAAGCCCCAGTATGGTGTGTTATTGTTTGTTTATTCTGAATTACTCTTCTGCTGAAGGCCATTTTTTGCTAATGACGACTTCTCCATCACCACCTCCTTCAACCTTCAACCCAACCTAGACAGCCCCAGCAATGTCAATGTCAAAATAAAAAGGTCTTTTTTATTTATTCTACACTGATACATTACTATTTACGATTTCTAGGCTACTTCTGGAAGACCTAATATATGAAAGGTGATGATGTGGCATCATTTTTCTAGCTCTAGTAGCATGCACTGTAAGTGTTCATTTGGTCGTTTATTTATAAAATAAACTAACAATCAAAATTGTCTACCAGATTGAATGTGTTTTACTAGGTGCTGTCAATAATGCTATAATTGTAACAACCAAGAGTTAGTTACTCTGGCGCACATAGGAACACACTATAAAGGTAGTGAATGGGGAGTGGTTACCCTTAGGCTGCAGAGAGTTTGTTGGTTAACAACAGGAGGACTCACTCAGGAGTCTCCTGGATCTATTGGGGTATATATACTAATACAGAGTGTTTGTACTTATGTATTGTACAGTGGATAAAGTTAGTGGCTGATGATGTCATGGGGCTTAGCCCGCATGACCAGCTCTACTGTGTGAGAGAGTTGTATCTAAAATAAGAAAAAGGCAACACGGCGCGAGAAAGAGGAGTTTGAATAAAAGGGGAAGTGCCGCGTGGCACCATGTGTGAAAGCTAAAGTATACAAGGTTAAAGCAGAGAATGAAAATGAAGGAAAGGTCCAAAAATTGTGTTATCGTAACACTACCCCCCTTCTTAGGCTTGACTTCCAGGCGAGACCAAATACCAGAGGTGGTAGTTAAGTTTTTGGGCATAGGTTGAAAAAGGGAATTAAAAAGTTTTGAGTCCATGCCTCTAAGCTTCCTAGGAGCTGAGGGGTACTTAGAATAAAATTCGCGAACGGCATCGCGGGAATTGTCCAGATGGTCTTCTGGTTCCCACGTTCTGTCCTCGTCTCCATAGCCCTTCCATAGGACTAGGAACTCTAATTTGCCACACTTCAAGCGTGCATCCACCACCTGTTCGACTTCAAACTCTTCTTCACCTTCCTGGGTGACTACTACCGGTCCAGGCCGGTCTACACGCTGTCCCGGCAGCGGTGTCGATGATGAGAACTGCAGTTAGAAAACCACACACAAAACAAACTAACACACAATCCTCCCAGATTCCACGGAACTTGTTTATGGGCTTTGCCTCCTAGAACAGTGGAGTGGTCTGGTTGTTCGTGGGGTGGTACGTATAAAGATCCTTCAAAGTAAAACCCAGAGGTGTATGAGTGTGGGTTTTGAGGAGGAGGGATAGTTGAATTTATAGAAGGATAGGGGCTTGGTGACGAGTATAGACGAGCACTACCTTGCTAATCGTAGCACAAGGTAGGTTTGAGAACGACAATATGACGAGGTTCCCAGTGATAGCAGGCTCCTGACGCACAAACTGTAGTGCTCAGAAGGACTCTAATCGAAGGGGATGTCAATCACTTTCAAAAAGTGACGAGTGACGATGACAGCAGTTAACAGTGGTAGGAGTGGGAAGTGTTGTGACCACTCTGGATCACAAGTAGTAGAGTAGTGAACTTGAGAGTAGAGAAGAAGTCTGGATTGGATTTCTTGTTTTTTTTTTTTTACAAGGTAAAATACAGGGGTTTATATAGTAAAAGAAAAGTAGGCTATGCACAGTATAGCTGTGCAAAAAGAATGAGAAAGAACATGAAGGAAGGAATGTATGCTGACGAATCCTGCGTAGGTAGTACAGGATAAGATTGTCAAAAAAAGGAAAAGAAAGAGATAGAACAATGAATGCTGTGAGTAATGTCACAGGTTTGTACAGCCATAAAGTAAAGTCCAATAGCAAAAAGAGAGCAGGAAAATCATGATGTCATGGGAAGATGCAGTAAAAAAAGGGCAAGGCAAAACACTATCAGTATCAACACAGTTCCTTTATTGTCAGTCAGGCATTCTAAAAAAATATGTGTCCATAAAAATGATTCAAAAATCAAAAATAATCGCACTGTAAATGAATGTTCTGCTGAAGAAAAAGAAACTGGAGCCACCGGTCCACCACCTAGTCCAAATCCGACAGTTCCATGGCCTTACCAATGGACTGGTTGTGTTGGACCACCTGATCAAACGAGGGAGGGAGAGGAGTAGTTCCAATTTGGAACAAGTGAGTCCCAGGCAGCGTGTGATAGGTGTAGCTGTAGCGAAGACGATGGACAAAAGATAAGTGTACCCAAGTGAATGGGACAGCGATGAACATGGGCAATGCAAGGGGATGAACCTTCTCCAGCTCAAAAATTACCCACCCACACTCCAACCAGGCAAGACGAGCGACCAATGTTTTGATAGTATATGATGGCAGATCGACGTCATGAAGATGGACCTGTTGCCCTATTTGGACCGGCCGCCGGGGCTTTGCTGATATCAGCAGTGGCACGTGGTAGTCAACGGATCGGCGACGGAAGCGGATAGGAAGTGGTGACATCAGAAATGGTGGGGGTGCAAATAAGATGAGGAGGAGGAGGGTGGGGGTGACAAACAAGTGGATTAGAATGGGGATCCAGAAACGACCATCAGGTGAGGATAAAAAGGAGAGGAAGGGGCCCATGGTGGGGCTAGGCAAAGGAAGGGGAGTAAGGGAAACGACAAAAGCGAGGGCGCAATGCAATGTGTAGCCAGTGGCGACGCGAAAATTTGCCGAAATGCCGAAACGCGGAAAGTACCGGATGGAAAAGCAAAGGTGAGCATGACTGGATTGCCTAATAGAGGTGGTGCTGATCAGCCACAAGTTCAAAAAGGGCAATATTAATTACTATTCCATGTGGCACTGTGCCTGTGTGGCGCAAAGGCGAGTCTTTTTGAATATTCGCTTCGTTATTGACACCTGTTCATGCTACCAATCAACTTTGGTGCATGACACCGGTTGCATCCGGTGTCCAACAATAGTACAAGTTTTATCTAGTGACTATTTTTCTTTCCATATCTGTGACATTTGTCTTAACCAACTTTCCTTGTATTTGCAAAGCACATTTTATCATAAATTTGATACTCGCAACAGTCACAGTCACACTGCATGGGCAATAGAGTTATAAAAGCGGCTGTTGAATATATTAAGATGCCTTGCTCCGCGGTGTTTAAAATTCCAACCGTAACCAAACGACCACCATAATTACAGCTAAATTCATATTGATAGACCAATATTTTGAAAAATCACACGCATAGGAGTTTGACTGACTTTCCACTGAGTTGAATTGAGTTGGAATATTAGACTAAATCTTTAAAAAAAGGCTAAAATGATGTGGTTAGACTCTGACAGAGTCACATGCAGGTGGCCGGCACTTAAAATTATTCGTACTCCGTTTCGTCTTCCTGTACGTGTGCTCTCACGTGGTGGTTTATCGATATGAATTTAGCTGTATGTGACTTTGGCGTTATTTTTGTGACATCCGGTTGGCCCATGAAATCTGGGAACGAAATGGCTCCCCAATATAGTCATCAATGTGACATTGATTGCCATTGTCACAATGAAGTAACATGAATAAAGTTCTTCTCCTGATGATCATGATATGATATGCCGCGGTACCAATAGTAACCATCATACAGAAGGCGGTCCACACATCTCTGCAGTTTACCAGGACAATACAAGTATCGAAACCAGTTTTTCCCTCTCAAGTGTATCTGAGGCTCACAAACGAACGGTCTAGGCTCTCAGGCTAACTATCTACTTCTGCTTGGCTCAGAATGGCTGGATTCTCGAAAGTAACACTTCCTGACGGCATCGAACTGGCTTATGAAATCCTGGGGTCGGATCATCTTGGTCTAGCCATACCAATAGTCCTGGTTGGCGGGATGACATCCTGCAGAGTTGATTGGGAGCGCTTGAGTTCAAGACTCGCGCACAACCGACCGGGTAAGTCTTCGCGGTAACATGACCCCTAAACACTTACACAAATCTGATTTCTTCGTTGAAACGCAGTCCTTATATATGACCACAGGTAATAAACTCCCTTCTTACCTTAAATTAGAAGCTGACTTCATGTGAAAGAGGAATGGGTGACTCCACCTACGAAGAGAACGACAGCTTCACGATCGAGTCGCTCGCCAGGGATCTCCTTTTCCTCCTTCAGTTTATTGGATGGAATGAACTCGCAATTTGCGGGCATTCGATGGGAGGTAAATTTCACCCCGTGATAGCTTGTATTCTGCGTACTGAATCACACTTTAGGTGCTATTACACAACAGCTCCTTTTTCTCCCTCACCATGCCACCGAACCAACGCCTTTACCATTCCATGTAACACATGTTGTGTTAAGTGCAACCTTACCGGCGGTCCTACGAGACCCTCGTTACGGTGTCAAATTTGCCCCAAGACCCGCAGGTCCCTTGACAGAGGATATAAAGAGAAATGTCGTGCGGCAGTCCATGGCGGCCAACTACGACCCAGAATGGTTTGCTGATGAGAAAAATCAAGCAAGGATCAACTGGGCAGTGGAACACGGAATTATTGGCCGGTAATTTTATTTTTTTCATACACCGGGCCCTACTGACGCTCTGACACTAGACCGTTCAAAACAATCGGTTGAGTGACTATTTAACCTGAACTGCAGTCCCTACTGATGACATTACTTCAAAATATATCAATAGAGAAACAAAAAAGAGCTGTACGTACTTTTTGTGAGAGTCGCCAACGTGCGAGCTGAATCGGATTAATTCTATAACAGGTCTCGCGTTTTGATTTCGGTGGTCTTCACTCGAAACTCTCGTCTGACATCCCTTTCTTGATCATCCACGGTAAACTTGACCAAATACTGCCTTTCTCCAATGTAGAAGCATTTCAAAAAGTCATACCTTGGGCAAAAGTTGTACAGGTTGGTGATCGTCCTGGAGAGATACCAAGTTACCAATTTGGGCATAACTGGTTCGAGTACTTCCAAGCACAGACATGGCTGGACGCTATAGAAGTATTTCTGCAGAGTACTGGTAGTGATAATGCGGAGGATAAAGCCCGTTTGTAGTGGACATATGGTTTAACTGTACTTGTGGCGGCATTGAAGCACTCGGATCAAGTCCGTCCAGGCATATTGCGTTCATTAAGCGTATCCACGTTGTGTTTTCACGCTTATCTTCCATACAAAGCTGGACAATCGGTGGTGGTCGGAACTTTCACGACGCATTCATCAACCGCCCTTCTCGTTTCAGATCGAGTACTTTGATGATGTTTTGCTGAAAATCTCATGCTGCAGGCCATTACCAACTGATCTCAAACGGTTCACCCTATATGACATGCTCACAGCTACTGAAAAAGCCCATGTCACTACGCTTACCATTATATATGTGCACTTGGACGGTGACTTTCTCGACAAAAATAGTCGATGGAAAGTCGGTGGTAATGCTATGGCTTGCAACTTGGAGATGATCACTGTCTCGAGTTGTCAGTGTTGTTCCGAGGTCGTACTGAACAGAATGGTAGTTAGGCGGCTTCCAATTGCTTTGAAAGTGCTCGAGAATGACTGGCGAGAACATGTATCGACCTGCATTTTCATATATCGTCTCCCATCGCTGATTATTATTACAATCTCTAATGCTCCAGGGATATGATTCATGCTCCAGGTCTTAAAACCTTCGCAGTCCACCATGACTTTCTCTGGTTAGAGTTGTTGTTGTTTTTTTTGCTTTGTTTGAAGAATCGAAGTAACACAAATGTATATTTAACTTGCAAACCGTATGAGTATGGTAATCATGTAGGTAAAACATATAACAACCACAGGGGTATTAAGGCTTAGTCCGTAACGCTGCACATAAAGTGTCCACCTGATATAGCCATCTACTCAACGTCACTCCCACTATCCTGCTCTTCTGCCCCATTTCCTACCGCCACAGTTTCATTCATTTGATGCAACGTAGGCTGGCGTTGCGAAGTGGGACTTGTGCTTTTAGCAGCTGACGGCGAAGCAGTCAGTGACGTGCTCCTCGACCCCAGACCTAACATGTACATCCCAGACAACGTCCGGGGGCGAGAACCGGCCCTAGCCGGAGAATATCCAATTCCCAAACCTACAGGCGAAGAAGATGGTGGAACTGACATGGCAAGTGAAGGCATAGGTATTCGCAGTCCCAAATTAGCAAGTGGGTCTGAGCTATCTCCAGACGACCTATGTAAAGATGTTTGATGTCGCGTGAAAGATGGCGAGTGCCTTAGTCGTGGAGACGTCATAACCGACCCAAAAGTAGGCGCAGGACTGGATGGGCGGGGCGCACCAGCGCCCAGCAAGCCAGCAGTCCAGGAAGACCAGTTCGAGGACGTTTTCGAAGGGCTTTCAGCAGCTGCAGCTGGACTGAGCATCGAATCTACAGTGGGCAATTCGTGCACAACACGTTTGACTGCCGCTATGTCGTGCTGCAGATCGTCGAGTTTGCGAGAAAACCGATGCATCGCTCTATCTACAGCAGGATCGGTACCGTCCACAAAGGCAGTGAGGTTTTGCTCGACTTGGGTACGCTCAGTAGCGTCGGCTATGGCGCCTGGTACGGCGAGAAGGGTTTCAAATCCATGTGCCACAAGTTCTTCATCCGCAATGCGGATCTCCAGCTCAACTCGCGTGTCTTCGTTGAAATCATCGAGGCGCTCGATGACCCTTTCAAGCGCCGAAGACGTGTTTGGTTCGGTTAAATGTTCGGTTAACGGCAACAGAGAGCGCTTCAGGTCTTTGAGGGCAAGATGGCAATCGCGGAAGGCACGTTGAAAGGTATCGTAGCGAACTTGTACTTGGGCAAGTGACGATATGAGACATGATATATTGTCAAGAGAAGACTCCAACTCGGAACTAAGCTCCTCATCCCCTGTTTGAGATGGTAAATATAGCAGAGATGAAGCAGACGAGGGGGCATCTTCCACGATATCGACTACAGAGAGATCACCGATAGATTGAGATGGTTCATCTTCAGGGCGCAATATGTGAACAGCCTGTGACCTAGGAGTTAATGGACTAAGTAGTTCGTTCGGTGGAGGGTTCACTTCGGCCATTTGTAGTTCAGGTATATTATCCTTGCAGTCTTTTTCTGGTATGGGCCGTGAAGGTGAAGGCATGGGCAACGTCTGTGTGTTTTGCCCAAAGACAGGTGAATGTCGTAGGTTCGTGAGGTCATCAGGAGAGCCAGTAACATGAGCACTTCCGGAGTAAGGCGATTCCTCAGGCACTGAGGATTTGTCACGCACAGGTGCTTGAGTTTCTTGGAAATGAAGACCCGTACCATTGCTGTTGGACGGCTCAGCAAAAATGCCATTCATGGAGAGATCTTGAGGCAGGGTTGCGGATTGAGGCGATGGGCTCGGTGGGTCATTGATCAGCGTAGCAGAGGAAGATATCCTTGCTCCTGAGTCGGATCGAGAAATAGGTGAATGCAGTGACGGCACTAACTCAGGAGCTATAGGAGGAGAAGTAGGAGGCGCTACCAGAAGCAAATGTCCAACTTGTTTCTCTAGCTCCATTCGCCTCTCTGTTTCTGCCTGCAGCTCGTGGGTGAGTGCTGACACGGCATCTCGGGCCGCTACAACTCGTGCAAGTGCACCAGCAGAACAGCCATCAAGCGAAAATTCCCCGCCATCGAGCGCGTCTAATAAGCCTTCGGCATCCTGTACAGCCCGCTCGAAGGAAGAACGCAGAGTAATCTCGCCATCCTGGCCTGAAGTAGAGCGCTCGAATAACTCCTGAGCCCTGCGGGACCAACGACGCAGCCCTTCGGTGATACTTTCCTCGCGGGCAAGGAGTGCCAGACGCAGCGATATCTCACGTCTGCGACCGTACGTTTCACGGGCAATGTCGAAGGACAGCTCATCCAGTGCATCACGTAGCCTACCCGCTTGGCGTCGTTCCACACCTAAAGAATGCTCTAACTGGTTAATCTGGGCGCTGAGAGTGTTGACAGTGCCTGCATGTCGGGCCCTGAGAGCCTCCATTGCCTTTTGAAGCGCATCAGTAGACGACTGAGAAAATTTCCTGAAGGCGTTGAAACATTCAAGGTCAGATATACCATTTGTATAAAACACACTGACATGTAACGGGAGACCATTTTCGCCGCCGTGTTATCGTCCATTCGAGCTTTATCCAGCTCTGTTTGAGCATGAGAAAGTAGGAAGCGATCACGTTTGGAAGTTTTCTGTTCTGATTCTAGTTTCGTTTCCAAAACGGATACTTTCCCTTGCAGTTGGCTGATTACAGCTTCCAGTTTCTCGGTCTCGCTATTGAATTCTGTCAACAGTTTATGCAGACCAGACTTGCCTTCGTGGAGACTGTCCACTAGAGTCACATTAGAAGATGAACTGTGAGCTAAGCCATTGGTGTGGAGGGCGTGGAGGGAGGAAGGGAGAGATGAGTTTGAGCCCGGTCTGCCTTCTATAGACCTCACCAGGTCTGCATACTCTTGGACAACGAGATCAGCCATTTTTCGCTCCTCCTCTGCGGCTCGGGCCTTTATTTCGAGATCCCTTTCTCGTACCTTGCTCTCCTCTTCTCTGGCACGCATGCGAGCAGCTAGCTCAAACGCTCCTTCGACATCTTGAGCTGCTTTTACTAGATCACTTCGGACAGAGGCCAGCTCAGCTGTCCGCGTAAGTAAGGCATCCTCTGCGAGGTCAAGCTTGTCGGAAACGCGTCTCAAAGCAAGTGTAAGTTCTTGCACCTGCAGAGAAGCTGGATGGGGCGTTATATCTGGATGGGCGCGCAATAAGGTGATTTCCTCTGTAAGGTGCGCATTTTCACGTTCCAGAATATGTATGCGTTCGAGGGTATGGGAGGTATCCAGTGAATGTCTCTGGAGCTTGACGGCGGCTATATGTGCTTCATGCTGTACACCAAAGGGGTTCAGAGCAACTAAACATCAGCCTGAGAGCTCTCGGGTGATATAAGCACATGATATGGCTGCACCTGAAAACGTGCTGCGGTGTTATGCAGACTAGTCAGCTCCAATACAAACGGGTGGTCTTCGCTGAGCTCGGCGTTCATGATGAAGACATGCAACAGCGACGAAATAGCGAGCTCGACGTTCGGGACCGTGAGCTGGCAGAGGGAATTCGGTCATTTCCGCAGTTTTCAGCCACACCAGCCAATTGGGACGGGTGACAAATAGATGTCAACAGGTCCTACAGGATTTTGGTTTTGGGCTCGGACTCACGACAGCCCTCGACCCCGTCCAGCTCAATCCTGGGGCTCAATTATTCTGATTACGATCTTGCAAAACCTCAGTTACAGCGAGTAACTATTTCTGTCTTTAATCCCATGATTTTATTAACTTTTTACCTTTTTTTCCCGTGTGTTTTAGAACCTTCGTTTGCCATCAAGAGCCAGGATCGACTTTACAGGTTTCTTACATTTATTCTACAACATTGGCTCCCTGGACTTGTCTCGCGTTTTTGTCTGTTTTTTATTATCCAGAAAGCCTCCTTCTTCTTGGTATGTTTCGATGGTACATGCTGATCCGTAACTGTTTTTTTCTGATTTTATCTATCCATCTCCCATCAGAAATTACCCTCGAATGAACGTACACATGGCGGCATCTCAGTCACCATATCCCCATCCTGGTCCTTCATCATATTACCAACATCCTCCACCGCCTCCACACTATGTTTATGGCAGCCATAGCCCTGGCCCTTATCAACTTCCGTACCCCCTCCCTCCCATGAATGGTCATCCGATGCACCCTCCTTCCTCCCCTCAAATGACTCCACAAGGCCGAGGAGGATACCCGCCCTCAAGAGGTGGCCCCAGCTACCAGCATTACCCTCACCCTCAACATCACTATCCGTACCCGCAACCCCCGCTCCAACACTCCCCTCATTCGCCCAATGCTTATGCACCGCACCATGGAAAGTACCCTCACGCCACCAGTGTACCTTATTCACCTTCGTATCCCATCCTTCCTTCTAGCCCTTATGGTTCTGCTTGGCCCTCCCAGCAACCTTTATCTCCGCTTCCCAAGCAGTTGTCCATGTTACCTCCTCTTTCACCTGGTCCGCCTCCTCCGACACAACCTCCTGGACAAGAAGACCCTATCCCTCCACTATCGAGCCAAAGCGACCGAGCCGATGTCAGCGCTCCTGCTTCGAGCTCCCTAGTCAAATCTCGTCCACCGGTTCAACAGACTGCACAAACTTCATCAATGTCTGAAACCGATTCCACAGAAACCCCGGAAAGGGCAACTTTATCTCCTTCCCCCTCTTCGCCTAAAAGCTCGGCTGCACAACCACCCATTAACAGGCGATATGGAGGTTGGGTAATATGGTCTAAGCGGCCTCACGACCCATCACACGCTCCAGGTATTATAATATCCCCTCGGGCACGACCCCCTCAAGACGTTATTCAATACGCACTGGACTTGCCGACACCTCCAGCTTCGCCTGTACCTGCCGAAAGCCATGCTTCCGAACAAGGCATAACCCAGGAGGGTGAAGCTAATACATCAAAGGAGCTCACACAGTCACCCCCAGAGCATGCTGACGTACCATCGTCTTCTGCTACCGAAACGACTCCCACCTGCTCGACAGCACCTGACACCCCAATGCCCGGGTCCCCTGTTTCTACGAACACTTCACTTTCTGTCGCTGCTGTATCCCCTGATAGAGGTAGGGCCTCCCAATCCCCTAAAGTCAGCACTCTCGCGGTCCCATCAATAGAAGAAAAGTCAACGCCTGAGGAGCTGACTTCCCCGCCGGCTGATATTTCTATTTCTCAGCCAGCTCCTACTTCCGTGCCTGCTCCTTCTCCTGCCCCTAAATCCGTTCCGAAATCTTGGGCCTCCCTTCTTCGATCGTCTGATGCTGCTTCTTCTTCAAAGACTTCAAATTCCCTTCCTACATCTTCTGTTGTTGGTTTCTCCATTCCGGCTACTTCCGCTCCTGAGTCTTCTATCCCTGTTCCTCCCAGCAAGAAGCCCGAACTCCTCGCATTGCTTAATTCGGGGCCTGCAGGTCCTGCAAATGCACCAAAAATCCGCCCGCGTGGTTTGATCAATAATGGCAATATGTGCTTTGCTAATGCAGTCCTGCAAGTACTTGTATATTGCCCACCATTCTGGCGCTTGTTCACAGAATTAGGACGTTTCCTTGGGGAAAATGGAACACAGGAAGAGAAGACAAAGATACCGTTGGTTGATGCTACCGTTCAATTCTTAAAGGAATTCCAACCGAAGGCCAGTGTTCAAGGCAAGGGAAAAGGCGTAGAGCGTGATTATGGATATCGTGAGGATCAAGAGGAAGATGGGTTTGACTCTTTCCTTCCGACTCATGTATATGATGCGATGAAGGAGAAGAAGCAGTTCGATCACATGCGGGTAAGTGCCTTTGTACAGTACTGTACATGTTATTCATCATTCGTGTGCTTTCAGGGTGGTCACCAAGAAGATGCTGAAGAGTTTTTTGGATTTTATTTGGATACTCTAGAGGAAGAGCTACTTTCTATCGTCTCATCAATATCGCCTGCTACGTCTAAACCCAACGCTCATGCACATGTAGAAGAGCGTGAGGAAGCGGCTCCACCGCCAGAAAGTGGATGGCTAGAGGTAGGAAGGCGGAACAAAACTGTTGTCACGCGGACGGTGAGAGGAAGGTTAGAGTGAGCTATGCTTCCAGATATTAATATACCTGATATATCTAGATCAAAACGGCTGAGTCACCAATAACGCGCATCTTTGGGGGCAAATTTCGATCGACGTTACGTGCCCCTCAACAAAAAGACTCGGTAATTGTCGAGGATTGGCGCTCGTTGCGACTGGATATTCAGGTACTTTCGGCGCTCCTTAATTCCTTTGAATTTGCTTACGATCATGCTTCGATCAATCCAGCGCGAGCAAATATACACTATAAAGGATGCCTTGGCTTATATTTCTGCGCCGCAGTCTGTGCAAGTGACATCGCCTGCGAGACCAGGTGTAGTTATCGATGCTAGTCAACTTGTCCAAATCGAGGCTTTACCGCCGATTCTAGTGCTTCATATGAAGCGCTTCCTGTACGATATGAATGCAGGCGGTGTGGCAAAGGTTGGAAAACAGGTGTCGTTTGGTCCTGAGCTGGAAATCGGGCCCGGTGGGTGTTGATTATTCGGAATGGCAATCCAACTTCTTATTAACTACTCATCATAGATATTATGGCGCCTGGTCGTAAAGTACAACCAACACGTTATAAACTCTTCGGCGGTACGAGCATTCCACGTTTTTTTATTCTTATATATCTAATGCATTATACAGTGTTGTACCATCATGGGCTCTCGGCTTCAGGAGGACACTATACTTTGGATGTGCTACATCCCAACAGAGACATGAGCACAAAACCACGTGAAGCGTGGATACGGATTGATGATGAATTGGTATCAGATGTGCGGGCTGAAGATGTATTTGGTGGACTGGAACGAGACGACAGATGTGCATACCTTCTCTTTTATCGTAGACTAGGTGGACCTGTTGCACGGACACAATGATTATGACATAGATATCGAATCTTATTTTGCTGCAACGCTTTCTGAGACTACTTCTGGATAACTTGGTGTATAACGATGACCTGACTTGGAGGGAACACGTTGTGGTAACAGGTAAATGTACTAGTAAGGTTTGTACTTTCGAGACTCCTTTAGTTTTTCTATTCGGGCTTTGTCTGCCTCCCAGTTCTTTTTGATATCCACAATCGCTGCAAGGGATAGTTGGCAGATCGTTGAGAAAATAATGTAGATGAAGCCAACCTTTGCGTTGTTTCTCTGCCTTCTGGAAAGCGTAGAATGACTCTTTCTCTTTGCCCTCCTTCTTTTTTCGATTGTTCATTTTCCCTGTCTCCTGGAATTTCTTGTTCGCAACCCCGACACCTCCACCAAGCGTCTGTCCATAAGCACCTCCGCGAGTGACCAAGGTGAATCCATCTTCGTCGACGACAGCCTCGCCCTTGCGATACGCCGCTTGTTGCTTGTTCTTTGCTTGTTCGTAGTCGTAGAGTTCGATCGCACTGTCAGCATGCGCTCTCACAGTGTCAAGAGGCGGCCGACATGAATCATGCAACGCCATATAGTGCGTTAATCCCCGCGGCTCTTCCGATGTAGGCCATGATTTCGGTTTGATAGGCCCTGAGATGGCCTTGTCAAGGGCAGATGAGTCAAGAAAAATAACATGTGCACATCCGCCTGTGTTTCGGAGTGTACGGAGTTGCGTAGTTGAGAGTGGTGTAACTGTTGGTGCTTTGGGTTGCTTTTCTTTGGAGACTTTCCGCTTTTTACGAGGCTGTTCCTCTGGTTGGCCTTCGGCGTCCTGAATCTCAACATCCTCTTCTGCGACTTCGCTATCGCTATCGCTCTCCTCATTCCTCAATTCTTCCTCTGGGCTGTGGTCAAAAACCACCCTCTCCACTGTCCCACAACTTTTGAATAGCAAAGATATCTCGCGTTCGGAGGCATCCGGTGGTACATTGACTAGGAATAGTGTTCGCCCGTCTGGTAGGTTTCTGTTCTTGCTTTTAGCTGATTTAGATACAGCGTGTGGACGTGCATATATGATGTGCGTTGATTTTTGGTAAGTCACAGGTAGTACGGTGAAGCCAGATACTGTAATCGGCAGAGTGTTCATCACTGTCTGAGCTAGATTTTTTATGGTCGGATATGGAAGGTGACGGTGGTTGTTTGGATCCAAGGGTGTTGCCAAATAACACTTACCGGTGGCAAGTGCAACCAAGGATCTTTGTACTCTTTGCCTACCATATTGTTGATTTGAAAGTCCATGTCAATATATACTTTGCCTTACTACTATTAGCAAGATATATCGATATCGACCGACTGTCGTCAATCCCAGAAATGGAAGATTACTCTTTTGCCTCATCCTTTTTTTAATGAATAGAACTAGAGACCAGCTATTTATGTTCAGAGCTTGTATATAGTAGGCAACTATAATTATAAGGACACTCACACTTATATATCTTATATGTAGGGACCGAAAGCGCTTTAATGGACACGATCAATTGCGATTTTCTTTGCTTCCACAGGTAAAATCTGCGTTCGGTCGCCATCATGATACCATGGTAGTACCCCTATGCCAAAAAAGTATCGATACTCTGGGAACACTAGTTAGTGTGAATGAATATGAATTCCGATATATTATTAAGTAGAGTATTGCCTGAACTTTTGCTTGACTTAAGGACACAATATACAGGTTTGTATTTAAGGCCTTTGCCAATTGCAAACACTGGAGCCTATCACACTGTAATCTCGACCAGTACGGTGCAGTCAGCATATTAGGCTGTATGCATGTATTTCTGTACCCACGGAAGTGGGTAAAAACACGGCACTTGTTTATTTTCTTATAATACGGACAAGTAGGGACGTTGGAAACTAACATAAATTAATATAGCTCCAGAAGTAATCATCGGTCATTTTACCGTTCCACCAATACACGATTATGCATTATAAATGTTCCAGCTCTGTAACTCCCGTTAGTTAACACCAATCATGATGTCTGAGGACTACGTACTTTACGCCACAACAGACCCCAGTGTTCGTTGATGGGGCCATCTATACCCCACGCTAAACCTCTAAACCACCAGAAGTTTGCAACAATGAGGAAAGCACAAACACCGAAAGAAATTTTTTTCGTCTTCTCTTTCCAGCGACGTGAGGAAAAGATGAAGTGATCAAGGAGGTGGCTGAACATCAAAACAGAGAAGTACAAAGTCGGAAGCTATGATTGATATTGGTGAGATGATCAGCATATTTTAATTGAGAGACATACGTAGTGATGGACATAAGTCACACGACCCATGATGAAAAACGGTGCTACATAGCTCGGATCAGCCATTGGCTCGCATTCAAAAGTAGTATTCTTACCGTAGTGCAAGAACCAACCATAGAAAGCGATTTTCCCGACGTACAAGAAATGATCCCATTCCCCTGTCGCACGAGTCAGTTAAACGCGAAATTAAGTTGATAGCGTAGCAGCCCTACTTGAATCCATATCTATATATTTTCGTTGATGGCGGAACAAATACACCCCAAGGACAATAAAAGAAACAACCAGACTAGCGGAACCTCCCCACCAAATAATCGGCGTTCCAAGGAGATAGTACTTGGGCTGATGGTCTCCCCAGCCACACATACGCAAGCCAAGGTGCATCCAAGGCCAGTCTGTAGGATTGGAAGCCAGGATATCGTCCTTGTCAGGGTCTGGAATGAGAGCATTGTTGGATGTCATCATTGCCACATTGAGGTGCCAGAAGTCACGGAGGAAGGGAGATTTGAAGAATTTAGTGTCGGCGGGGGGCACTGCATATAAGTAATAAGTAATAAGTAATAAGTAAAAGCTTCAACCATGTTCAGGATACACGTACATCGATCATTCCAGTGGCTCTCCACGTTCCAATAGGTATGCGGGTCGTTAGGATTATTTTCCTTATCACAGCTGACTTCTATTTGTTTGTATCCCCACTGCGGTAAAACGGAGTTGGCTGCACGCAAGTAACATCCTAGAGTGTCATGGCGAAACCTCAAGCGAGTTGTAAGGGAATGTATCCTGTCGACCTTATCCTTGCTGCCTTGCTTGATGTCATCAACGACCTCCACTTTCCAGTAGTCATGATAGTCTCCTATTGTTGCATTGCCATAACAAGAGACCTCGTTATTGAGCTTTGTGACAGGCGCTGGAACGTTATGGGAATGTAAATTGCGGGTAGTCGCAGCATGCTGAAGACGAATAACATCTCCGTCTTGAAGGAAATGCAAAGGATCATTCGGATTATATTCAGACTCATCCCACCTGGGAAGTACGACCCAATCATTGTTGTCGTCCTTGTAATGGTAACACGTCACTTGTTGTTGAGTAGAACCAGCCGGATATGTTTGAACATGCGAATGCAGAAGTCCACCTCCCCATCCCATGTTTTTAAGTGTGATTTTTGACCCATAGGCAACCTCTGCATTGATCAGATAATAAGCATTATGTATAAGACATGAACATAGAACGGGGACTCACCAAGTGGATTCCGTGAAAAATCATTGCCGACGAGATGGGCTTGGAATAACGAGCTCATCTGTGCATCGCCTGGACCGGAATGGTTGAGGATAAGAAAGTGGATTTTGAAAGACATCATATAAACAAGGATGGGAAGAACTATGAGACATAGCACTCGAGCAGCCCAATGCCTTATTTGATCTCGCTGTCAAGTGTGTCAAGGGGGGTTGGACCTTGCAAAGGTGATAGGAAGGAAGACTCACATAAGACATCTTGAGGTCGCCAAACTTATCCCACAAGTCCTCAATCGTGTACAGTCCCACTACAGCTGTAATAAACAGGCCGATCCATTTGACACTTCAAAAATGGTATGAGCAGGGTACACCACAAAATTTAAGAAGGGAGGCACACCTTGTGACACATCCAATAGATATTCCTGTCATTGCAAGCCAAAGCCACCAGTCAAAAGAAAAGGATCTTGAGCGGAATAGGTCAGGACTGATCGATAGACGTATAGCACTAAAATAAATCAACTTACTGATATTGTTGATTGTGAAACTTGGTGAGGAAAAAGACCGTAGTAAAGGTGAAGAAAAGTAACATAGAGTCCAATAGAATGAATCGAGATATACACAGCCATGCGACATCTGTGAAAAATACATGAGCTAAAACTACAAAATATAGCACAGTATTCTCACCGCAAAGTACCATCAGAGCAACCAAGTGACACGCCCACGAGCTCAGACCCAGTTCAACAGCAGTATACCAGCCCAAAGGGACCATAGCTACACCAAAGGTAGCCATCATCACTCGCATAGCAACATATGGCACATTATCCGAGTATTCAGCCCCACTCTTGAATTCAAAACTGCCGTCATAGCCTGCCAGCAAACCCGCGAGGCCCACAAGCATCTTTCCCAGAGGAGGGTGGACATCGAAGTAAAACTCGCGTTTCAAGTAATGCGAGCCAAACTTTCCAAAATGGGCTTCGTCCCAGACGACCACACCAGAATGACCAATTTTATGGAACCTTGTCCAGCATGACAAAAGAGTGTAAATTGCGGGAGGGAGGTGTTCGAGGTTTTGGGAAATGAACTCGCTCTTGGTTGGTGTATCAGTTAGAAGTCTAAGACTAGAGAAAAGGTAGCATACAATTGAAGTTGGAGGCGGGGGTGGAGGTCTTCTTATGCGTCCACTGCTAACGCGGCCTTTTGCCGGCCTTGATTTTGAGTACACGTCCTTACCCTCGTCGTCATATTGCATTTCTCCCTCATGCTCGTCCCCGCTCAAAAACCCTCCGCTGCTGCCAGGCCCTCTCGCAACTCTCCTGCGCGTTGCCGTATCCTCCGACATGTAGTGAAGTGGTAAAGATTCCTGTTGCTGCGCTGTGGCCCAATGATGGTCCGCTGGGTATGGTACTTCTTCAAAGTCAGACGATGTTCGCGGAGGGGTTCCTGGTGGTGTACCGAAATCCAGTTCGACCTGGGGAGGTCTCATTAGCTATTTCTCAAGTGCAAAAGGCTGTGGAAGCCTTGAAATGTAGGCCACGGTCGTGTTCTAAGTTGGTTGGTTTTGGCTGTTGGCATCTGCTACAGCCGCCTTCACGTGGATACTGATACTGCGGCGCCACCAAACAAACTGCCACGTCGGTCAAAATTGCTCGGGCTCATCAACACACCAGCGAATCATCAGCCACGAAAAAATAGACTCATCAGGCAAACCACAAATACAGATTAGATGCAAATATTCTCATTTACAACAGACAACAACGACAGTACTTTTCGTGACGACAGGCGATGCAAAAGGCGAAGACATCGACACCTACAAGACAACCATCTCAACGAACATGACCAACTATGGAAAATCCAGCAACGCAGCCCGAATATAAATAGTACGAAAGGGTCTCCAATCTTACATATGGCGTTGGTATTCAGCTGCATTGACAGGGAAGATGTGAATGACTTATAGGCAATCCGCCAGTATGCTGACTTACCAGAAACCATAGCGTGGTCACGTTCGTATGGCTCCAACGTAATTTGCTCAATCGGCTTGAATTTTCCCTCTCTGAGCAATTGCACCTCTTGCACGAATACGGTTGCAGGAGCCACTGTTGAATCTATACAACTCGCTTTGATTGATATTACGATGTGACCACCATCCTTGAGGAAATATTGAGCGTTGTGAATCACGATACGCGCTTGATCGGGTTGAGCGACGTCGGCAAAGATGACATCAACCGTTGAAAGCAGCATGCGATATTTATTAGGAAGACGTGCGTCCTCAACAATTGCTGCAAACAGTCGCTGATGTCAGCAAATATAGTGTGCAAACTGACTTTTGATACTTACGAATGACGTTTGTCCTCTTTTTTGCCATGTTGATCAGATCACGGCCTGACCGGGGAGAAAATTCCACCGCATAAACAACACCTTCCTGGAATTAGATAATCAGCCAGAACCAAGAGATTGATACAGTCGAAAGTGTACTTACCGGACCTACGATGTCGGCTACATGGCTGACACTTGTGCCGCTGGCAGCTCCCAGATACAGAACCTTTTTGCCTGGTGCAATATAGATACTATCCAGGCCGCCCAATACACCAGCCGCAAGCTTGCTCCGGAAAGGATTCCAAACGCGGTACTCCGTTTTTGTGTCTTCTGCACCCTCTATAGATATCCGCTTCTCTCCATATACCGACTCCCCGGGTACAAGGTTTTTTGTGACCAATAGATGGTCTTTTCCTTTAGCAATGAAAATGCCAGGGTGTCTGTGGGGTTCCAAGATAACCTTTGCGCCTCCTCTAGCACCCCCCCTACCACCACGTCCTGCTCCGCGAGGCGCTCCTCTACCACCACCACCTCGACCACCCCCACCTCTTCCTCGACTTTGTACGCCACCACCTCGAACTCCGCCCCCTGAATATAAATTGAATTAGCGTATAAAAACTTAAAAAAAACCAAGGAAAAACTCCGTACCTCGTCCGCCTCTCCCGCCTCCTCGTGGTGCACCTCTACCCCCTCCAAAACCACCGCGTCCACCCCCAGCTCCACCCCCACGTCCCCCAAATCCGCCACGATTGCCTGATGCTCCTTCATGAAAGAAATATACATCTCGTCAGTCAAAGAAATAGTTATCACAAAACAATAAAAGGCGATTTGAATACTGTAGTTAAAAACACTGGGAAACATACCAAATGCCATTATTCTTGTTGTCTGAGCTTGCCTTGACGCTCTTCTTTACACTGAGCTTCAGCGCGACCAACAAAGGAACCGAAATTTTTTTCGTGTGTCGGAGTGCTAAAGCTCAGGTGGCTATGAGTATGTAACGAAGTAACAATTGTCACAGCTGACTGTGACTCAGACTCATTATCAAGTACTAGCCCGTAATACTCTCCTTCATGTTCACTCCAGCTTACTTGGAAACTCCATTCCTTTAGTTAGCTAGCCTCGGACTTTACGCTACCCTGAACTTCGGACTGAATACATTATGCTTCAGGACATGTAGTTGTAGGGCGGTGTCTGACTGAATAAATAGTAGACATAAAACTGTTATATAGTGTTTGGAATGCTCAAGAGCTCTCTCAACACCTTCATCTTCCTGTGTAATATTCACGTGTGACCATTACATATTTTTAACATCCCCCAGTCTAAGACTACTTTCCACTACTCCTCTCATTGTCTGGACCTTGGACTGATCACCCAGGATCACCTGGACGATTATGTATTTTGATTTATAGTAGGTGTTTGTGTTGAACAAACAATGACAGGTAGGACCGTAATAAGTAACAAGTGTGGGAAAGTATGAATGAGTATTGGTGTGTGTAGCTACTCTAGAAAAGAAATGAAGTCCATAGGGAACACAGTTCATAACAGTTACTTATACAATGAAACAATATCACCAGGTGTAACTTCATTTGATTGAAAACTTGGCTTTGTTAGCATGTGTGACAACACCAACAAGACACAGTCTTGGGGCACTGGAGCGCAACCACAATGACAAGTCGACTTGCTGAGTCCTTCCCCATGTATTGCTCTAGTATATATCACTGTGGGCATTGGCTTATTTAAGCCCAGCTTATATCCTGAAAATATGGGAGTCCTGGGTTCTGATTGGCTAGAAAAAGCTAAAATTGAATGTTTTCAGGATATAAGCTGGGCTTAAATAAGCCAAAGCCCGCAGTGTATACTAAAATACATGAGGTACTGTGCAGTTGTAAATCAAGTTTAAAGTCTGATATCTAGCATGTGACCAGTCACATGGTGAATCTAGACACTGGTCAGGTGGTGTGTCACGTGATTGGTCATGTGACTACAGTGCATTGCACTTGGACCCAACCTCTCTGCCCAGGGTCAACCAGGCCTTATTTCAGGCTGATTTTAAAATTTTGATAGAAAATGTAACTAAAATACTCATTCATACCAAAAATCAGAAATTGTATATATTACATAATCATTCAGATTTTGGGTTGCTGATCTGAAGTGCTTGAATCCGCTGTAAGACGTCGTCAGAATGCCTCCACCAAGAAAAAAATGACTGTTAGCAAAGAAGCAGAGAATAGCCAATCAAAAGGGCTTTACCCAGCTTACCAAACACATAACCAACACACCTAGAGATGCAGAACTTGAATATGAGCTAAGCAATGGAGATGACACAGATAAAAGTCTTACCCATAAAGAAACATTGCCTTGACAAAGTAACACAAGTATAGAAGAAAATAATGGTATAAAACCATTAGGGGGGCCCAAAAATTGTATACCCACCTACACAGGAATAGGCAGGACCAGTGTCTATGTACAACAGAATGTGAGGAATCGATTTTTCTTATCGCATTCCCGTCATGTCGTGGTTAGCAGATTCGATCCCCATCACTCCTCTTGCCCTTGGACTAGAGATTACAGCTGGTGTCTTATTACTTTTATCATTTTTCTTCTTATTCTCTCTTCACACTCACGTTCTATCGTACCTACAACAAGGTAGACTCGTTGTCGACCCTCAAGAAGATATCCAGATGACATAGCCACGATTCAGTGCTATGTCTGGGAATACTTCGGAGGAATATTGATAAGCGAAGAAGGTAGTGAATCAGCGCCTTCTCATGGGCTTACTGATACAGCCAATCGCATATCCCTTACCAATACGTTTTCTGATACGATTAGTAAACACGATAGATCGGACCACTTCCTCCCTTTTTTCTTATTGGTTAGTTAGCTGGTCAGACCACTTTCTCAGTAGTTCCCTTTCTCGGTCTGACCATCGCCGTTCACTATATAAGAGAAGTATATACTCAATGTATTGTTCTCTAGTTCAATATTAGTTTGGATTTGCGCTCTTACCGATACTCTTCATTCTCATACTCTGATTCACCGCCTTCAAGGAAGGACTTGACCAGACATTGAGCTTTGTTATATAGCTTCGTATTTGTTGCCTGACAAAATATTGAACTCACCTACCTCGAATCCTTTTCCAGAGCCCCTCTTTGGAAAACTGTTTCCTTACACCCTGAAAAAGACTGTCGTTGCCACTGCACCGGTCTAAACCTTCATCATCACCTTCTCCACCTCTCTACCATCCCTATCATTCTCCTCACTATCGTCATCGACCTCTCACTATCCACCCCACTACACCTATTGTCGTTCAGTCTTCTCAAACTGGACGCCTTCTCTACCATCACCGCTCTCGTCCAATTCTTCGCGTTCTTTGCCATCATCAGATACCTACAAACCGGACTCGTCAGCGACGTCGTATACCTCCATCGTGTCTACCTCCCAACAGCTCTCAGAAGAGTGGGTATCAGAAGCGGACCGCAGACACCAGAGAGATTTCCTCGCAGCTCTCAACAAACCGCTCCCGGTCCTCCCCGTCCCTACCGAAGCCCGTACTCCAGACGTGGAAGGAACGGTCGAACAGATCACTGAGTTGTATCAAGACTCCTCTGCTTCGTCTTCACCAATTGATCCGATCGAGGATATCATCCTCGACATAAACGACGCACTCGCTCTCACCCAATCCATCTTTTACCATTCCGCCATCTGTAGGAGAAATTCTCGCAGTCTCGAGGAGATACTCCAACATCTCCGACAGAGCACGGAGAGAACTTTTAATCTTCATATCCCTGCGGCACGAATAAATTCCGTTGATAGACTACTTCGAGAGCCTAGTACGCCCGAGTTACGAGAACACTCAGAGGGTTAAGCTTTTGAAAGGAATAGCCAACGTACAAGAACGAAACCTGCAACTTATTTCGCAGAGCCACATCCCAGATCTCCTCGATCTTTATCGAATCCGCCCTCTCATTTTTCCAGACATACCCAGCCGCCTCCTCCCTTACGACTTCGAACACACCTTGCTTTGCGGCATTGTGTTAAGGAAGAGGCCTAACGAGGAACCTACCTACGATATCCCGTCCTCATTTTTTACATCTGACTACTACGACACCTACTCCGCCTCTCCTGTCAGTTACCAACCCATCCAGTACTTCTGCATCGGCAATCATCTGGACCACCTTTCTATTGTCCAATATCTGACACGACTTTGCCGAACTCTCTACCTCCCTGAAGTCCAAGATCTTGACGCATTCGGGC